ATACCGATGTGGTGAGTAAACGCTAATGATACAAACGATTGACTCGCACCCGAGTCAAATAACACTAAGGCAGGTACAGAACTCACCAGAAAAGTACCTACGCATATCATAATATAAGCACAAATAACTTAAAATAGAATAACAAAAGAATACATACCAGCCACAACATCGGGTGCTGCGCGGACCTCCTCCGCTGTCAGCTGAAAGGCTCTCCCGAGAGCCTTCGGTGCCTCGGCCTTAGCTGACCGACTCTCTGTAGCTCGAATAACAGCAGGTACAACACCATGCGCTGATCCCTGAAGCAGCTGCGGGCACTCGGCCTTCCGATGGCCCGTCTGGTTGCAGTGAAAGCAAACTGCAAATCCCTTGGGGCAGTCCTTCGCCATGTGCCCCTCCCTGCCACACTTGTAGCAAAACCCTGCTCGACATATCCCCTCATGACCCTTGCCGCACTTTCCACAAGTGCGGCCCTTCTGACCTCCTGATCTCGAATCAGTGGGCTTTGCCCGCTTGGCTGTCGGCTGAGACTGTGGCGGCCGCCGATCCCTCCCTTGAGACTCCGCCTCCTCCCTAGCCTGAGTCTCTAGCTTGATCTCCCTCTTCCGGGCATTTGCCTGAAGCTCAGTAAATGACCGGTATGACGAGTTCGCCACGAACTCACGAATATCCTTCCTCAGAATGCTCAAATACCGACTCATACGTGCCTGCTCGGTAGACACGTGCTCAGGGCAGAACAACGCCCTCTCATGAAACATCATCGTAATCACTGTCACAGACTCTGTCCTCTGCTTGAGGGACATGAACTCCTAGGCCAACTGTTCCCTCTCCACCGGGGGAACATACTCATCTCTGAAGTGTGCTCTGTAGGAGTAAAATGAGCTGTCACAAACTTCCACCAATCCTTCGCTTCCAAGCGAAGCTGGTTCAGTGTGAACCGTACCCTCAAGCGCTCTGGACAAGAACAAGTGTAGAAACACCCCTCGATATCAGAAATCCATCTCATAGTAGTAATCGGATCCTGCGTCCCATCAAACTCTGGTGGCTTCGTGTTGCTGAACTCCCGGAACAACAACGAGTCACCTCCCTGTGGCCTAGCAGCAGCGACAACTGCGGTGGCGGCAGCAGCAGCAGCCTGAGTGACAGCAGTGTATCACTCATCAAATGTCTCAATTAGGGTGGTCTTGATAGACCCAAACATCTCGTGAATCTCTGCTCTAATGGTTGCGGCTACCTCCTCATGAATCATCCTCCGGATCTCATCGTCACTAGTACCACTGGTACCACTGCCCCCTGGGTTGTGGCGCGTACCCACCATGATGTCTCTGTAATACAACACAAAAGTAATCAGAGACTCGCTCGAGTATACTCACACTCGATCACTCCCCCTACTTGTTCCCTGGCATCTCAAAGATTCTTACTTGGACTGCTCACCGACTCGGTGCTTCTAGTAGTACGGGCCCAATACTACCTTCCACACCTCATCGATAATCATCCCAAGTCCTCCTCCTAGGATTCCAGATAGCAAGTGCTCTATATCTCGCCGGACCCATACTAATCTCATAAGCTCATTTCCGCTACATACTCGTTCTCGAAACAAATCACAGGTAGCAGAACTCCTAGGCTAAGGCATCACAAATCAGGCCACTCTAGTCCTAAAATATGAAATACCTATCCTACTCGCTAGCATGCATACTATATCTCATAATATCTCATAAATATCTCGTAAATATCTCATAACATAACAAGTAAGGGTATTTTGGGAAATCACCGTTCGGGCTCTGGCTGATTGTACACATCGCTCATTCTCGTTTTTCTCTTTGAACTCTTGCTTGTTTTAGAAAAATCGTTTCTCTTGGAAAAATTCTCTCAAATCCTCAGTTTGAGTCCAGACATACCCGAAGGTGCATTCGAATCCCTCAAACCAAGGCTCTGATACCAACTTGTAACAACGTAATTTTTCAAACCAATTTTTCATTTTTAAATCACATAAAACTCATATATTATAAATCATAAAAATCATAAGTGTCTCAAGTCAACATAAATCCATGACAAAAGTCAAATCCCAGAATCCCCGATATAATCTCGAACAGATGTGTACAATCATGCCAGTGCCTTCCCGCGATCATCTGAGGTACCTGAAATACATAACACATAACACGGTAAGCACGAAGCTTAGTGAGTTCCCCAAAATACCACATACAACAATTAGCCACTCGAGGCTATAACTCTATATGACACTCTGGTCAGTGTGTCTCAGTGGGACCCTCCAGTCCCACAACTCTGGTGGACCCTCCGGTCCTAACTCTGTGGACCTTCCGGTCTTAACTCTATAAACTCTGAATAATACATAGCATAAATCACATAGAAATAATGCAGCATATCACAGTACAAGAATAACATATAAGATACTCTGTCACCCAACTCTGATTACCACTCTAGGTATGTATAATGAGCAGACTCACCTTGAAGTGAGCAAGCTAAAACACCTCGTACACGAATCACTGATCTAGCCTCCGCCTAATACATGCGATGATTATCTCTAATTAGACCATAATTCTAATAAACTCATCCTAACCCCTCTTTAACTCTTGGTAAGGGCAAAAGACCCTTCTACCCCTCCATGGTCCCCATTACTCATATTTGGCCAAAACTCCAAAAGTCAACAGAAGTCAAACTTGAGTCAACAGTCCATGTTGACTCAACTCGTCGAGTGCACCGGGAAGCCTCGTCGAGTTCCCTCGTTCCCTCAGGGACCTTACGAATACCAACTCTACTCGTCGAGTAGGCCCGCTAACTGGTCGAGTCACAACGTGCTCAGACTTATCGGGACAAACCCTAAGCGACTCGTCGAGTCAGTTCATGGAATCGACGAGTTTCATCCAGTCTATATTCCCATTCAGACGTTTTAGGGCAGATCCATCACTCCAAACTCTAGATCTAGACTCCCTAGGCTCGAATGTCACGTAAATCTTCGATCTTTACGTTCATGCATAGCATATTTGCTCCAATATGCCATTACACACTCCAAAGAAGGTTGAATGCACATGAGCTTGACCCTAGCTCAATAAAGCTTGACTCTTTGGGCTCTCAAGGCCTCCTATAGTCCAGATCGGAGGTCCTAACCTCAAACCATGCTCAAATAACTCAAGGACACAAGATGATTGGAAGAAAACCCTAAAAGCTCCCAAAATGGGATCTAACAAACAAGAGGTCAAGATGAGAGCTTTATACCTCTGAATAGCAGCTAATGACTGGAAGTGACAGAAGATTACAAAAAAGATATACATAGAAAGAGGAATTACATAGAAACTAAATAAATACAAAATATATGACAAAGATATATGGCAAAATATACAAAGGGGGTGTTCGGCAAAACTAGTTGGTAACGGATAGCTTGTAGCGGGTAGCTTGTAGCTTGTAGCTTGTAGCTTGTAGCGTTTTGTTAAACGCTACATGAAGTAGTATTTGGATTTGAAGTGTTTTGGTTAAACTAAAAGCTAAAAGCTTGTAGTGCCAAACAAGACTTTCTGTTCAAAACGGAGCGTTTTGTTAAACGCTAGAAGCTAGAAGTTTTCAAATTCTCCCAAATGCTCCGTGCCGAACATGCCCAAAATATATAAAAAAAATGTGCAAAGATATATGACAAATGTATCGTTTAACAAATTGTTTTTTACTTTTGGACTCAATCGAATCATTGGTAATTTACATTTGTCATTTGCAGTTTCTTTAGTTCGGTCATTATCAATTTATTTTTTGTAGGGTGGAGATTAAGTTTCGTTTATCTATGTTCGGAATGTCATTTTCGATTAGGCAAGATGGATATGTCAATTAGTCATGGATCTCAATGCATTCCCCTTCAACATTAGAACTCCAACTTTTTTTCGTCAAACAATCCATCCAAAATGTCTTTGACATCTTGCATGGTGACCTTAAGCTGATGTTTACGCTCATAAACCGACTTAAATTCTACAAATGAATAAACAACGTGCACAGGATCTGTCCAACTTAACATGTGAATGACTGTTAAAAGAGAAAACACAAAAAATATTATAAACAATCTTCACGTTATGTTTGAAGGCATGAATTTTGAATATGGCACTACCGAAAATTTAAATTCTATATAAAATCATAGGAAAAGACACTTTGGTAGCGAACTTTTAAAAAAAGCGATGAGTTACTATATGTGTGAGATTGAATAACAAAACTATTTAGTATAAGAATTCAAACATGTTCATTGTGTTTAATAAGTCCAACCATTTAGAAAAAAAAAAAAGCACAATTAAATGACCCAAATTAATATCATGTACTAAACTGGCACAACTATAGAATAAATCTCGTGCTAATATACAACATTAAAGCTAATTACATTTATATATATATATATATATATATATATATCTATATATATATATATATATATATATATATATATATATATATATATATATATATATAGTTCTTACAGTAACATACCTTAGGAGATGAACTGACTACCAAAATATGAGAATTCAAACTCATGAATTTGATTAATCCTGAGTCATACCAAGTACTTGGACTTGGACACACCCAACTAAGCCATGAGATCGATCCTTTTTAAGCATAACCGCAAGAATTTTTTATTAGATCTCATATAAAAACCATTGACGATAGTTGACAATCATCAATACTAATTAACGAGGGAACAATAATATTTTATTAGAATGTTTACTGTTTAGTTACATATATAAAATAAGCCTTTCACAATCATTTGCTAAAACAAGCAAACAAAAAAAAGTCTGCGTGTACAACAAAAATATGTTACCCAACCCGCAACACAATCAATCACGTAACAATACAAACAACATTTTCTTATTAATATAAATTATATATATCTCATGTACACTAACATACTTTTTTTTTCTTTATGTAATCATTGTATAGTTTTGTATAACAACAACGAGATAAAATAATATATTATTCATGATTTAAAATGTTTTTAATATATAACAAAATAGCTATAGCTAATTAGTGGTTTTGCGTTTGGCAATGGCATTGTCTTCAACATGCTTATGTCCGTCACCAGGACTTGGACCCGAGCGTGCAACCCCAACTAGGCTTCTATGCAGGCCTCTTGCTCTTGGCGCGGAGCTTGAAGTCTCTGAGAGTACTTGAACATTGAGGTCATTTGTCTCTTCCGTTCCTGGGTCAATGAGTCGACGGCCTTTAATTGTTGAGAATGTTGCATTCAAGAAAAGGATGAAAAGGAGAAAGAGGTAATATTGGTGTTGTCTCGACATATTGTGATGAAGGAAAGTTGAAAGAAACAATGAGGAAAGGGTTTCTCGATGGGTTTGCCATGGGTTGAGCATGTATATATAGGAGCCAAAGGGGTGGGGTGGGGGGGGGGGGGGGGGCGATTGATCTTGACAAATATATAATAGTTGAAAAATTAATATATTTAGTTCAATGTCTTTTTATAAAACAACCATGAGAATTGATGCATGATTTCTTTCTATTGCAGTCAAACTCATCATATAATGATGTAAAAACCTGTTAAATAAAACCATGGACAAAACCAGTTATTATATTTGATTATATGTTATATATAATACAATTAATTTGTTATGCTTCAAGATTATGAATATATTATACAACGGATTTTGTATCCTTAATTACGATGCAGGGTTTGACCCTATAATTTTCGAAGACATGTGAGATGTGACTATGTGAGGGCCGCCACCTATTTTGTCATATACTCATATTGTTTGGTATAATCCAACATTGTACGTACCTTAGGAACGTCAATTGCATGAAAAGATTAATTTCTTTCTAAATCATAAAATATTTTATAAAACTTTTGATTTATATATATAGATATATATATATATATATATATATATATATATATATATATATATATATATATATAGGTTCATTTGAAAACATTTTAATTTTGTGAGACCGTAAGACGCAATCTAAAAATAATTTTAAAATGCAAAATAAAAAGAAAAATCTGAAAAAAAAAATTAATTATTATTTTCGTCATTTTCTTTACCTAAAAAAATTTAAAAAAAAAGTTACCGTTTTTTTTTAAATACGTGAAATATTCTAATAGAATATAACACTATAAATATTCCAATGTGATTTTTAGAATGTTAGAATATTCTAGTAATCTAATAGATTTGTCAGATATGTAAAATATTCTAATATTCTACTACAATATTTCACAGATATTTTAAAAAAAACGGTAATTTTTATTTATTTATTTTTTAATTTTAAAAAAAATTGGATAAAAAAAATGACGAAAATAATATTTTAAAAAAAAATTGAAAATTTTTAATTATTTTGCATTTTAAAAATGTTTTTTTATTTACAAAATAAGTGGATATGATTGCGTCTCCCCGTCTCACAAAATATAGTGGTTTCACATGAACCTAACTATATATATATATATATATATATATATATATATATATATATATATATATATATATATATAATAACCTTATGACAGTTCAAGTATTGAATCGATGATTTTGTGGTTTGACTTATGTGGCTGGTATTGGCTTTGATGGGCTTGCAGCTCCAATTCTCCAAACCATCGGCTTCAATTGATACGTCTTTGTCTCCTGTGCTTCACCTTTCTTTTGTCAAATGGAATAAATATACCCCAGCGCCTACATCTCCCATCGACCTCCAATACATTTGCTCCCTTGAAAAGTCCCAATGTATATTACTTTCTATCATACACCTTATCATCGCTTTTGTTTAGATATTTTCCCTTTTTGTAAGGACATGATATACTTCCAATTAAATATTTTTCCTGCAAAAAGCATGGTTTTCTTATAGGGATTTTGGTTCACCTTTTTAGGTGGTCGAGGGGATGAGAAAGCAAGAACAGTCTTCTCCTGTTGAATTTGTTGCAGAGAAGGCTCATCAGGAAGCCATTAAGCCTGATTGCATCATTGGAGTTGCTTCTTCTCTCTTGCAAGCAAGCCAGAGAACTTGTACAAATTCATGGATTGGACTTATGCTTACATGTAATATTATATGTTTGCAACCATTTAGCTAGCTTGATTTTGAAACTAAATTTTTTATGTTTATTTCTTCCAGAGGTTTGCTGTTTTGGTTGCATGATGTGCCTCAGATTATCTTTAGAACCAACAACAAACCTTTCAAGGTGTCACACCCCCAAACCAGACGGCGGAAACGTCTGGGGGTGGATGACTTCATTTGTAGTATCACAACACATGCATTATAGTAATCAGAGTACAAACAACCGCTGTATTTAAAAATTATAAATATTTACATGTGTTTCATCATTGTATACTGAAACCAAATAGTTATACAAAAGAAGAAGTCAAGATTCAAATAGCTCCATCTTCTCAAAAGCTCGGGGAGTACATGTCTACTGGTTTCCTGAGAATACAAGTAATTTGAAAAGAGAGTATCAACATAAAGTTGAGTGAGTGCATAAGTATTTATGTTTGAAAGAATGTTTTCTATTTCTTGAATATGTAAACTGTTCCAGAAAATCCTATATGTTCTGCTGTATATGAAAAGTAGTTTTAATCACATAAAACCGTTCTGTTTATAAACCAATGTTATGTATTAGTATTTCTTTTGTAAAACTTGTAACTGTGAGTGTGTCTGGTTCCACCCGCTGTTATTGTAAACCGAAATGTAATACTGTAAATTGTATCTTGTAAAACCAGTACCTTGAAAATGTACTTATGTTTTATTACTTATACACTAACGTATTGTTTATATCTTTTATATAAGTTATTATAACCATACTGACAAGATGGCCTGACCCAACGCTATGGATGCGTTGAAAGCTGTTGATAACAACTGTCACTCGTAGGCGTGTATCCCTGACTGTAGCTAGCAGTCTGAGTGCGGGGTTGTCAATCCCAATATAGATCTATACACACATTGTTTCGATCCCCGACTGGAGATTCTGGTTATAATGTCAGAAATTTAACTATATTGTTTAAATGAATTAAACAACCTGTATCAAATGACTCATAAAAAGCATATAAACGTTACATGTATATTGATTATGAAAATCCAATCATTCTGAAATAAATGATTGACAGTATGTTCTTGAAGTAGTATTATTAACATGTATATGAAAGGTATATACTCTTAATTAGTTTTGAATCAAACCTTTGTTCTTGTAAAACAATGTACTTTAGTATACTTGAATTGTGAATTAATGATCTGTGATTCATAAATTATATCTATTATAATTTATTTGTACTTTCTGAATTGATATCGAGTATTCATGAATGCAACCCCTTGCTCAACATGTTACAAAGGGTAATTGAACTTAATGAATTAACTTTTATACTGTATACATATACAAATATATATAAGTAAAATTTAAATGACACTCGGACAAATAACTGATACTTATAATCCCACATCCAAACAAGGAAAAGGAACCAAAGTGGGTTATCAGTCCTAAGTATTTTAAATCTTATTTATATATATATATATATTATATATATATATATATATATATAATATACAAATATGATTTCTGGGAGAAATATAAGTTTATAAAAACATTTAAAAGATGTTTAATATTTTGAAATACTTTTAATGACTTGATGTCATTTTAACACAATATTTGAAAATCAATTGAATTGATGAAAACTGAAATCCATTTTGTTAAGATATTTGAAACCTTTTGTTTATAACACAAATTCTTTGTGTTAGACTTGTATTCCCCCTTAAAAAAGTAAAAACTATGAAAATACGGGGGTATGAACTCACCTGTAGTGAGTGATTCGAATGTAAGATCGATATAGGATGCTAGTTGTCAAGTGAAGTCTCGAGCACAAACGGATCCTATTAAGCATATAATGACATGTATATATATATATATATATATATATATATATATTATATATATATATATATATATATATATATATATATATATATAATTAGTGTATATAACAACTAATCATGTTAGGGAACCACCTTAGGGACTAGGAAACACTTGGATTGAAGTGTTACAATCACATATGATTGCATTAAAGGGGTTCACGGCCACACAAGGGTGTTTACGGCCATGGTGTTTACGGCCAATGATGTTTACGGCCAATGATGTTTACAGTCAATGAAGATCTTGAGGAGGGTTTACGGCCAAGGGAGATGCTTATGGCCGTAAACTCTTATTGTTCTTGGGAAATGGTTGTTTTCAAGGGTGTATATTTTGAGCTTCTATAGGATAACTAGTATATGGAAGATTACTTACGTTTTGAAGCTTGAAGGGGGTGTTCACTGTCCAAGAACTAGTATGTGTTCTTGGTGTAAGTGATGAAGATTTGAAGATCTACCCAAAAGAGATGAAATCATGGATGAAATCATAGGGTTTCACTAGATTAAGCAAGGTTTCAACTAACAAACGGAAGAAACACTTACATATTTGAAGATCAAGATGAAAACTCTTGATGATAGTTGAGAGAAAATCGAGTTTCTTGAGTTGGAAGTGTGAGAATTGGTGAAAAATGAAGGAAATCTATATATATGTGCGAGGGTTCACGGTCCGAGGGTTTACGGCCGTGAACCTCCTTTACGGTCGGAGGTCGGCTAGAGTTTACGACCGTGAACAAGTTCCAATGCGATAAGGTTCAGTTTCCGAGAAGATAAGATCCGAAGAGTATACGGCCGAAGCCGTTCACGGCCTCGTTCACGGCTGCGAGGGTTTACGGTCCGAGCCAAGAGTTTACGGCCGTAATCTCTAGTTTACGGCCGTAAATTCCAAGACTTGGAGTTTTCCGGCTTGAATGCTGCACAATGAACTTCTAGCAGATACTTCTTAACACCAAATCCTTGAATGTACTAGGCTTAGAACACTCAAACAGACCCTTAACAATGCTAAAAGATAGCGGAAACAAGTCTGAATGTGATTGAATTGAATGACTGTACAAGATAGAAATTTCAGGTTGTCACATCATCCCCCCATTAGAGAGAATTTCGTCCTGAAATTAGAGTTTAAGCAATTAAGCAATTACAAATAACTAAGCAAAAAGATGAGGATATTTCAGTTTCATTTGATCCTCGTGCTCCCAAGTGAAATCAGGTCCCCGCTTGGCATTCCAGCGAACCTTCACTATAGGAATACGACTTTGCTTCATTTGCTTGACCTCTCGGTCCATGATCTCTACTAGATCTTCCACGAAGTTGAGGCTATCGTCGATCTCGATTTCGTCAAGTGGGATTACAAGAGTCTCGTCGGACAGACACTTCTTCAAGTTCGAGATGTGGAAAACAAGATGTATGTTACTTAGTTCTTGAGGTAGTCGGAGTTTGTAAGCTAATGGACCGATTCTAGCAAGAATCTCGAATGGTCCTA